AGGCATTCAATCAACATGTACGGATCTTGACCTAAGGTTTATGCATGTAAGGCGGGGCAGGTTTGTATAATAAAAAAGTTTTAGCCACGTTATATTTTTTTATTATTAATAATATATAACAATGAAAGATAAGAATAACGCATTAACAAATAAAAAAAGACGCAATTACTTCGAAAAGTGGCATATCTTTAGAGGTTGGAATTACGGATGTAAGGTTTAACATTTAGTAAAAATAAATCAGAATCGATACATAATTTTCCATAATTCGCCCACGTAACAAAGATATTCATTTAACATGTGTTAGAATAGTTCCGGGTACTATGAATTTATCTGTATCACCTTACTAGCTTATCGTTATGCATAACTTATTTGTGAGACGGGGCACAAGCAGAAACTGCCATTTACCAGAATTAGTCTCTAACCGAAGTTGGTCAATTTAACTCATGCCCACATATGTTCTAAATTTATTTTAGGCCTAAATACGCACAATGTATGCGTGTACTATGGGAGTATCAAGTCTTACATGGCTCTATAACTCGTGATGTATATACTTACATAATTTATAGAATTCTTTGCATCATCGATAGAAATTTCTCTGCGTGAAAATACATGCCTCAACTTCTATCGTAGAAATTTTTTGCTGTAAGAGCGCATGTTTTTACTTCCGCCTAACATTTCGAGTTTTGGGAAGAGATAAGAAAAATATATAAAAGGGCAGTATCTATAATTTATTGTTATTTGTTGCTTTATAGTGATTTCTCTCGTCATACTTTACTAAAACATGTCTACATCTATTCCATCAAACGAAATCCTTCGAAACTTTTTAAAAAATGAACCGTTAGAACAATTATCTATTTCCAGAATAATCCATGAGCTGTGGAGAGTTTTCGGAATGGAAACGGTAAAGCTAGATTGTGAACGTATTATAAATATGTTAGAAGATATGTTGGATAAAGACATTAGCGGTGATCGTAAATCACATCTTCAAGAGTTGAAAAACATTGACAAGGTATTTCGAACAAAATGTTATTTTTGATATAAATTATAAAATGATGGAAAATTCGAAGTCTTTAGTTAATGTTCTAGAGTTGTGTAAGTAGTAATGATAAATTACCCGCGAGAAGCTACTTTATTGCATTAACATGACATTGGATTTTAATGGGTGCCCAATAAACCGCTAGCGAATGCTGATTAATATTTTGCATTGATGTGATTGAATGTTATTGGATCTTAATAATCTAAGCTTTTGCATTTTTTAACAGATACGTTTTTCATGGAATGAACTCAAAACACTAAAGGATGCCGATTTATTTTGTAATAAATTTGAGGAGCAAACGGATTGGAAAGTAGAGGCCGAATGTACTATAGGCAATATAAAAGATAAATTGGAGGTATTTATTATAAATGATTTTGTTGCTTAAGTTAAAATAAAAATAAGCTAATACTGTCACGACACAAGATGCAGCTGGAATTTAAGCACGGCACAACGAAAATTTTATTGAACAGACTAAAGAGATAAG